AGAAGGATAAATAATTTCCTGTCTGTCGTCTGCCAATCTGTGTAGTCCAATAGCAAATTAGACGATTGTATTAATATATGTTGTAGATCAGTAAGCAGTCATTAACTGTGTTTAGCAGTAACTCTGGTGAACATGATTTAAAATTAACTAGCTAGTAGAGTTTTGAAAAACAATGTTAAATGTTTTCCAATACTTCAGCTACAAAAACTTTTATTATATTCCCAGCTCTCCCAATTTAGTCAGTACAAGATTTTTAGAAATTAAAGTTTGCCTGTTAAACTCTGTAAAGACAATTATTTTATTCTCCATAGTCCTGTTATCCCTCTAAGACTTTCATACAGATTTCTTTTAGTGACCAGAATTCTATCTTTAGTCACAGTGGTATAATCCCATTGTCTTCAGATACGGTTTTCCTCAGATTTATAGAATAGTTGTTCTGCAGCCTTTTTAGATGCACTGACAACACTGCCTAAACCCAACTGCTACAAAGGTAATACTTTAAATCAATGTGCTGAAAAACGGAAGCTGCCTACTCGCAAACAAAAGATGAAACAAACCAATCTTGCCTGTACAGCCCATAACTTCAGAGAAAACAGAAAGCATTTAATGACACTTTCTACATCAACAGATTGTGTATTTAGTAGACCAAAATGGGAAATGGCTTTAAGTTAATGACTAATGGTGTAGGAAGCTTTCCTAGTTGCTTCTTAGTGTGTCTTTGGTTGAGGTCCCCAAAGGGATGTAAATTAGACCATTAGACTTAACAGTAGACTATTGTGCTCCTTAACTTTCAGATAACTGCTTTATATAGCAGAATGCATAGCCCTGAGTTACTCAAACTCCTTCTGTGAAGCACAGGATCCATCAGGTGCCTCAAGATGGGAATTCTGCCTGCCAGCAAGGAGCTGCCTAGGCGAGCTGGTATAAAACAGTGGGGACAGATGTGTCCTATCCCTCTCCAAATCTAGCACACCAGCACTGCTAAGATCTGCCACACATCCCCATGTGTTCATGCATGCCTTTTATAAGGCTGTTTAATCAGAATTCTCAGCAGAGATCAGAAGTAACATCCTATGCAAGCGTCCAGATAGTTAACACAGTCACTCCCTCATTGCATAAAATCTGACAGCTCTGAAAGAAGTTTGAGAGCTCCTTCTGAAGACAGGCTCTGGTCTGGGGCTGAGAAGCACATGAGCAAGCATGAGGCCATGCAATGGCCATCACTAGCATCGTTGTCTTGAGCAAAGATGGCTGATGCTGTGTCTTGGGTGGGCCCCAAGCTGGTAGACATGCTCTGAGATGTCTTCACCACCTCGAGTCCTCCAGGAGCAACAGGAGGGAGAGACAGCTGTGTTGTAAATCCCAGCAGGCCTTCAAATAGTCCTTAAACTCAAGACTTAGGTGTCCCCAAGCATAATAAGCAGTGTGATTTACATATCTGGGGAAGACTAATGATTAAAGTTTAGGTATCAGGAATAGAGAGCAGGGGGTTGAATTGGGGTTCTGAGAGTCTGTGTTTTTAACCGGAGCTCTATGTTTCATATTCAAAACTTGTCAAGGAACCACAGAACCTTTCACTAACAACATCTGCATCCCATTCTTCAACCAAGTCATTTTAGGAATTTTCAGGGATTTTGCAGTCACAAAAGTGAATCTTTGATTTGTGCAGACTGGCTAAGGCTCAGGGAGGGGCAACATGAGAAGGGCAGATGAAGGGAAAGTGTCATGTTCCGTCAGAAAGGCTCCATCTCAGAGGAGAAATCTCACCAACCCCATGAAGTCCTGCAGGCACCTGTAGCAGCCAAATAAGAAGCACCTCTACAATCACCACTGTCCTGGCAGGAGACTGCAGAAAACTCATCTTTTCTTCATGTTTGGGTCTCAGAGATGATCTCTGACTTTCAGAAAACTCTCTTCCTGAGGCAAGGATTTTCCCCAAAATGCCAATAAAAATCAAAAACAATGCTCTCAAATTTATAGTGCATCATTCTGAGGAAACCCCCTTGCTGCAAGTGCTTCTCCCTTTCTTTAGTTATCTTATAAATAAATATCTTCCTTTCATCTGGAAGATGTTTAACCGTTTTCCATTCTGTTCTCAATTATAAATGAGAATGGGCCAAACCATAACCCCCACAACACTGTTCAAATGATCCTTTTCCATTATAATTGATATTTTAGATTACTTTATAACTGCCTCAGCTATAAATTCATGCCCATTATTTGTAATAAGTGCTGGCCTCATTTAAGTATGTTGGCTGTATTCCCAGAATAATGCTTTTGGAAGGGAATCTGTTCATACTGGGAGAAGTGGGGGAGAGTGAGGGATGACCTAAAACCCTAAAATTCCATTAATAATTAATTGTAGCAGGAGAAGATGGAAATCTTATACATAGTTAATCAGGGTGTCATCTTTCAAAAACATGATATAGATTCACACACAAGGATTCCTTCTACCCCTCAGGAGAGCTCAGCCCACACTACTAGCCTGTTTGTCAGTTCAGGGGCTGGCAAAGTATAAATTTGCAGCACAACGGAGCTGAGCAGCAGCAAGAGTTCAGGGAATGCAGGACAGGCAACCGCTGAGACGGTGGAGTGTCTGGGAGGGTTATATTTGTATCCTGAATAAAGGTCTCACTGGTGTATGTCCCCAGTGCAGCCAGGTCAGTAAAGTGGACAGTTTGCTTCTGCAGAGCCTGTACATTCCCTACTCCATCTGTGCGCAGTGTCAGACTGAACAGGATAGGATTGCTGCCTGCACCCTTCCTTATTGGAAGCATCATTCGGTTACCTGAGGGGCTCTAGAAAATGTATTAGATGAGGTGCTTCTCTGGCACAAAGCTTACCCACCTCAACAGCCCTACCTGAATGGCTCTGAGACCCCTCTCTCCTCCCCATAGCTGTTAGTTTTACCTTGACCCCTCAAGAGCAGCCCCCGCCGATGCTTCTCCTTTAGCAGGCACTGCTTCTCTTCTTGCACTTGGAAAGAGGAGAGGCACAAGGATGAGGTGTGGGCTCTAGTCCTACAAGAAGAAATGGGTAAAACAGAAGAGGTAGGCCTCTGACAAGGAGGCGAGGGAGTGCCCTGGAGACCACCATGTCCTGTAGGTGTGTGTGGAGAGGGCAAGGTGGCAATGATGCCAAGGAAGACTTGGGTAAGGATTGCAATGGCAACTGCTGCTGTTGCTGGAAAGGGCCACTCCTGCCTATATATCTTGACTTGGATTGCTGCACTGATGGCAGCATTGCCCAGTGGGTAAGCAAGAGGCTTGCCTGGGCTAGGTCACACTTCCAGCGTGCTGAAGAGATGGGCCAAGAGTAGGCAGCTAATCCACCAAAGCCTCCCAGCCAGGCCTGCTCATGAACATGTGGCAGGGTAACATATGTGCTGTAGGCAAGAGAATGAAATGAGCCAGCAGACAAGCTCAGCAACGGCAGGGCAGGGCTGGCAGTTCGGCAGCAAGTCCTGGATTGGAGTGGCTGGGTGAGTAGGCAGGTGGCTGCAGACGGCTAGGTTCTGTGGGAGTGCAAAGCCACTGAGTCACAAATGGTTTGTTGCCATTGTTAGCTGAGGTAAAAACTAAGCAAATAATCAAGGAAATTTGCAGTTACTAAGTCTAGTTGTTACTACAGTTCAAAGGACTTAAGGGCAAAACTGAGTTTGTACAGCAAGCACAAACGTGTCAGTTCCTAACTCTCTTGTGCTTGACTGGCAACCAACCAGTGTACTTCTAGTTCAGGTTATTTGCCTTTGACATTTTTAATGGTTTTTCCCACAGGAAACAAGCAGAAAGTAAATTTTTACTAGGCAACTGCAATTAATCCCCGAATGGCATCATCACAGACCTCTAATTTTGTGGATTACCACATGGGTTGCAGCTGTATCAAAGAGAAGATTATCTCCATGACATGGTAGCAGACAAATGTGATGGTCTGGGAGGAAGGGTACCAAGGTCAATGGGAGTGCACCTTTCCCCTTTCTCCTTGTCTGTCCTTGCAGTGTGATCAGAAAAAGCGAGAAAACACTGAAACCATGTCTTGAGTCTCAGTGATGGTTCCTCTCTCTGTCCTTTCCTTCCCTCCAATACCATCTTCTGTCTGCCATTCTTCCCAGGGCACCACACATTCTTACCAGGCTTTGCCTAGACTGTAGGCTGGGTTACCTATTTAAAATGTCTTGAGTTCATTTATGGCTTTACTGCATTGCCAGAATTTCTCTGAGGAATGCAAGAGAATGAAAATAATCATTTGCAGCAGTTCATGTTGTAGAAAAATCTAATTAAATTTCAAGAGATGAAGACGGCTTCCTTACACTAAATACTTTCCCCTGCTGGATTGCAAAAGCATATTGCAAATAACAAAGAGTCTAAAACTTAAAAATACGCCAAAGAAAAAAGCAAACAAAAAATTGCCACAAGAATGTTTTATGCCAGAAATCATTAGACAACTGCAATTGAAAGGCCATTACAAACTCCCACTATAATAAAAGACATTATAATTGCAGTCTGAACAACTCGGGTGACACTTCCTACATTGTGTATTTGTCTCCCATGGGGACACCATGGCACTTCTGTTTATTAATGTAGGTAATAATCATACAATGAATGACTGAATTGATAAGAGTATATTGAGAACAGCTGCTAAAAATAGCTAAAAGAACAATGCACATTATATCTTTACTGGAATCCTTGAAAACAAACAGGAATGATTGTCTTTAAAAATTACTAAAAGTATAAAATAAAGATAGCCATAGTATTTTGAGAAATTTGTTCCCATCAGGAGTAATTCCAAGTTTCATACTTTCCTTGTGAGTCTGTGCTAGGGAGAAAAACAAATCACATATGTAAATAGATATTGGGTAAAAAGGTAGACGTGTATCTCTATATTGTAATAACACCTATATTTGTCAAATGAGAAAACATATCAATTTTAAAATAAATACTTTTTTGGAGGTCAGAAAATTCCTCTTTTAATTATCATTTTTCCTTCTTTTACTGTTTCAGTTATTTGGGTGTTTCCTAGCCTGGGATATTCCTGCTTTGAATGACAGCAAATACATTGGAATGAGTGTCTATAATGTGGGGATAATGTGCATTATTGGTGCTGCTGTTTCATTCCTTACTCGGGACCAACCCAATGTGCAATTCTGCATCGTTGCTTTAGTCATAATATTCTGCAGCACCATTACTCTCTGCCTTGTGTTTGTACCTAAGGTAAGTGAATTTGTTTAGCATGGGTTTGGATTTTTTTCTTTCTGTTTTTTAATTGGGATTTAATCTGTAAAAGTTCATTGCCTTTTCAGCTACAGGGGACGTGTGAATTCTAAACCAAGGCCTTCTATAATCTCTTGTCTCTGGATCTTGAGAGGAAGATCAAAGCTTCATGAGATTTTAGAGAAAGTGGAATATGCAAAGTGACAGGAGTATGATTACACGGGTTTCTAATGCCTATGTCTTTGCTGAATCTGTGACAGGGGAAACAAAGGTTGTTTTCTCTGATTTCAATGGAATAGTCTCTATTTACAACTTCCAGGAACTTTTTGGACAGAGTGGTAAGTGGGGATTCAGGTTCAGTTGTCTACTCTGCCACGTTTCTTATGTACCCTAAGCAAGACAATCAGGATCTCAGCTTCTACACCTGTAAAACAGTAAGACCTCCTTAATTCACTGCCATGTTGTAAAATCACCTACGTTGAAACCTCTAAGGTATTCAGGTATGGTGGTACAGTAGGCTTTATCAGTGCTTCAGAGGAGAACTGTAGATACGCTGCAAATGCTGATACTGGAGATATATTTATTAATGGGTATATTAATGGACTAAGTGAGGCACAGACTGGGAGGCATATGCTTTCATTTCTTCTTGCTCTTTTGGGCTCTGAGGATGTGTTTGTTGTGCACTGTTGGAAGAACTGAGGAGACACCCACAGAGGGATGAAACGTGATCATTTCACTTGCAGAGTTAAGCTTTAAAAATGAGTATGACAGATTACAGGAAGGGAAAACTGGTTTCTACATAAGCTTATTTTAGCAAAGCCTCAAGTTCTGGAGAATGCTTTTGATATTTTGAATTATAAGGTATAATTGTATTAATCGTAAGTGACTTCCTTAAACCTAGCTTATCACCCCAAATCAGATGCATATGCAGTTGGATGTCTGAAACATTTGCAAGACAAGAGTCAAGATGCAGGTTCTTTCATCCCTGGAATCTGTGTTTAAGTTTTTTTAAATGAGTAGTAATAAAAAGGTTGTGATGCGTTACTGGTCCATGTTCAATCAAAGTGTTGAGCAAATCATAATGAATAGGTTCTGGTTCTAACAGAGGGACCAAGAACTATATGGGTAAAAGCAACAAGGTACTAAATTTATCTATGGGTGTGCCCTCTGAAAGAAATCAGAGGCACAGACTAGCAATAGAAGCTGACTTCTGAGCTGCAAAAAAGTGAAGTAGTTCATTCTACAGGACTGACTAATCAGGATTACAAGTTCTGCAATTCACTTCTCAAATATTAGAAAGCTGCACAGACATATATAGTCATGCCTTTATTCTGGATCTTAGGGAAGAAACACAACTTCATTCTAAATTAAGGGAACATTCACAAACAATGGAGAATGCTTCAAAATACTGCAAGATTTGTGTGTAAGATGTATGAAAATGCATATTAAAACTCTGATGCCAAAAATACCTCCACAGAATGTCAGAACTCTCTGCAAAGAGAAAATATTAATGCTGAGACATGCTCTTCTGCCCTTTCCTTTCATGCTCCTTTGCCCATCCTTCTTTTCTGCCTCCACAGACTCTGAAATGACTTTTCTGATTCCTTGTTTAACCCCTTCATCTCCTCTTCTTTGAAACCCCAATTACCCTGCGCTCATTTTTCCTCTCAGTTCTTTCTACTCAAAATAAAAACATGAACGGTAGCTTTCTAGCATGAAGTACTTCATCGCGTTCCATGTATTATCAGGTTTCCAAATGCTTAGCTATTTTGAATTAAAAATGGTCATTGGATAAGGTATAAAAAAAAGAGGTTGAAACAGGAGCTGGAAAGCAGCACTCCCAATGCCCATGTGAGTACTGTCACAGCTGGAGAGTTCTTCCATGTGCACTCTCAATATTTTGCCCTACATTTCTTCTCGCCAAGCTGTGCCACAGTTACAGAGGGATGGTTGGCAAGCACTTTCCTGCAACCCGCTCCTGCACAGGTTTCACAATAGCCTGTCTGGACCCCACAGGAGATTAGACCCAACACCAGCCAGTTCGTACATTGAGGTAAGATGTCAGTGTGAGACAGGGACCAAATCTGTCCCTTTAACAAGTGTGTAGTCAGTACAGTTTTGACGACATGGAAGATTGCTGGTGAAATACGAAAGCCTGGGGCTCACCAAGCACAGAAGATGATACTGAAGACTTGGAAGAATGCACTTTCTCATTTCATAGGATTGTAGAATGACTTAGGTTGAAAAGGACCTTAAAGACCATCTAGTTCCCACCCCCCCACCATAGGCAGGGACACCTTTCACTAGACCAGGTTGCTAAAAGCCTCATCCAGCCTGGCCTTGAACACTTCCAAGGAGGGAGCATCCACAGCTTCTCTGGGCAACTTGTTTCAGTGCCTCACCACCCTCTTAGTGGAGAATTAAATTTATTAAACTGCAAGCAGTAATGTGGTTTTGAGCCAGGTGAGTACTTCCGCTTCTCTGCTATACAGAGTAAAACACATTCCTTTTAACTAGTCTTCAGCAGACTCCTGGGCCAACAGTGCTGCAATTCAGTTTTGCCCCACAGCCCTTTTATGAATCTGAATAGGCAACTATTCAACAA